AGCCCCCCCCCCATGCCCCCTCCCGGGTTGTGTGCCCAGGTCGCAAGCTCCCTCCTTACGGAATCGCTTCCGCAGGTTTGGACCTGGCGACCCTTTCCTTCCACCCCCGTTTCTTAGGGAAACGGTCCTCAATCCAGCTGCTAGGCACTTCAGCAAGATTGATATCTAATCTCTTTGGTTGGAAATCAGCCTTTAGGTGCTTTTATTTTCCTATCTAACTTCTCGTTTTAAATTGTATTTGGCTCTTGTTTGTGGTATTCCTAATTGAATTTTTGCATGGGGGCCCCCAAAACTAACGGCGGCCAGAATTATGATTGACGGGCGTTTCTCAGTGAAGCTGAGAAATGTGATTTGAAAGTGAATCGCGGTTTTCCTGAAAGAGATTATATGGTTAGTACACTTTAAAATGTTATACTTGCCGGAGCCGCCTGACGGCGACTCGTGGGGGCGGTCTCTGGTTTTGTTTAGTCGGCCTTGGATGTTTGTCCCTTTCTCGGAACCTGGGGTCATCCATCTTCAACGCTTCGTGTAGATCGCGAAACGCTGGATTTAAGTGCGATCTGATTCTATCGAACGTCCTTTCTGCATGTTCTCTCATATACACGTCCACATATTGCGTGTCCAGGTCTAGATCTCTGTATATGTATCTGTTTGGAATATAGTAAGGTGCATTAACGGCGGCCCTTACGCTCGTATTCATAAATGCTTGGATCTTCTTTCTGTATGTCTGCGCACACTGGCCCCAGGCAGTGCATGCATACAGTATTATTGGCATTAGGATCGTTCTGATCATCCGTAGCTTGACTTTCAGTGCCATGTTGCTACTTCTTCCTATGATCAGCGCCAGGCGTCTTCTGGCCTGTTTGGCCATTTCTATTCTCTGCTGTACGTGGTCCTGGAATGTTAGCTTCTTGTCTAGGATGACCCCGAGATATGTCGCTTTGTTTGTCCACGGAATCTCTTGTCCGTGAGGACAATTCTTTCAGAGTATTTCATTCCTCTTTCGAAGTTGGAGCGAACATCACAAAATGTCACTCCATCTAGTGGACGAGGTACTAACCAACTGCATATCCGTAATTTGCCCGATTCCTCTGAATAAGGAAGAAAAACTTTCTTATTAGTCAGTGGGCTATGCTTGAAGACAAATCTAAAGAACTGACGCATATATGCGTTAAATTGCCTACAATTATATTCTACAAGTTCTACTAGATCAATGGTTTCGACGCAATCTTAGTCCAAAAAAGATGTAACACTAATTTTTTTAATTTTGAACCATTTCAATCAATTCATGATTTTTTTTGTGAGGATGGAATTTGTATCAATGAAGAATTTTGAAAACGAATCACTTCTGATACTTGAGATAATTTACTCCAAGACTGCATTAAAGCCTTCGTTATTAACTATTCCTGAGCGGTTATGTCTGTTAATGTTACCAGTTTCCATTATTTAATTTAACAGTTCCATCTTAAACTCAGCCATACTGCAAAAGATGGTAATCAATATATCTTGAGGGCAGAATTCAACAAACTTCTCTCAACTTACACTGGATTCAGAGTTATTTACACCGATGGATAAAAAACCCAAGAAGGTACTGTTAGCAGATCAGGCAGCCAAACGACCGGAAGACGTAGAACATTATTTTAAACAACAGATTATGGATTTATGGCAAACTGAATGGTAGGAAACAAATTGATAGAGGTAAAGCCAAAAATCACACCCCGGAGGCATTCTATTCCAAAGACACGAAGAGAACAAACTGTGATTAAATGCTTGAGAATAAGTCATACCAACTTAACTAACATATTTATGCTCTCAGGAGAACAACTACCAATATGCCAACAATCTAGGCAGAGGCTAACAGTGAAACATATCTTGCTAAATTGTGTCCAATATGATGAAGCAGACAACGATTTGAAATCCCAAATTCTATGAAGGAATGTTTGAAAGATCACAATGAAAGTCTGGATAGAATTAAAAAAATTATGAAAGCTATTGGGCTATACTCAAAAATTTGAACAAGAAATCAATACATTGGCCTTCTACTAATAGTAGGCCAATGACCTCCTAATCGACGCCTTTAAACCACAAAAAAAACAATTCCAATACATAATTTTGTCCTATATTTCTGACCAGATGATTCTCGTTCTCGTAGTGACTCTTGCAGATTATTCATGTTCGTTGTTTAAACTCACCATTTCAATCCGCTCTTGAAGTGATCAACCATTTTGAAAAAATAAAAAACAAACTATCGATATGAGTTCAACCATCGCAAAAATAATAAAGAGGATTACTATTACTATTATTCAAATTCAGGTTGACCTAGTTTGGAATTGAATAAAAACTCAAAGAGTTGCACCTGATGAGGTGTCATTCGATAATTATTTGCATTCAGGTGTTTTGGGGAGGGGGTACTTTCGTTTGATAGTTTACATTTTATTTATTGAACAGTTTCTATGGTCTCAATTCTGTAATGCTACAAAAATAACTATTTTTACAACTAATAAGTTGTGGACAGTAAGTGAATTTTATATAGTGTTACGTTTTTTCTCGTGGGTTGACCAAAAATTGACTACACTGAATAATCAAACTTAACTTTATTTTACTTTAAATACAACAAATACTTCAACTAAAAATTCCAACTATTATTTGAATCCACTATCGCCTTACTAGATCGCTTCGCGTACCGCACTGTAACTTCCACTTAACTGTGACGATAGGCTTGTGACTAGCGTTTATATATCGTAATCGAATGCGCTAGAAAATTTCGCCGAAATTCCGTTGAAATCGGTAGCATTTTTCTCGCTACATCTAGAGCGGCAGCAAATATCGTACATTCACGCGCTTTTAGCTACGTCACGATTGGTTTATGGCTTTCAGTGACGGCGAGCTTTTTTTTCTTTAGGGCATGATTTACAACAATAGTAATTAAAATTTCAACTTCAAATTGGAAATTTCTCTGTCTAATGTTTTGAATATTTCAATATTTAGATTGATAGATATTGGAGTTTGTTGGAATACTTCGTTGTATATCTAAACATGCAAGGGACATGGTCAATTGACTTGGAATAATAGAAGTCGAGTATCTGATAATTCCATATTATTCGATGATTATTTTCTTTCAACTGATAAATTGAAGGCAAGGCTACCAGAACAGAGTTTTACCGCGGTGAAATGCTTCTTCCCAAAAGCGATAGAACTGACAGTGATAAAACTGACAGCCATGAAATAAACATCTATAGATGGACTGAAAAGTTCGTAGGCTAACAAACAGATGGCACTACTAGTATGACATGCATATGCTTTTTAGTTAACCCTAACCTTCAAAAGACAAATTTCAGAGCTGTCGGACTATTAGTTTGTGGGATAGAACATTTTGAGAAAAGCAACTTTTGTTAGTTTGACAAGAACGGGTAAAAATGAATTTCGTGTGTTAATGAAGCATTGTTTTCTGGCAAAAAAAATATTGAAGCCAAGGCTTGGCTTGATAAACATTATTCGGACTTTGCACCAGAAAAATCAACCGTTGAGAAGTAGTTTGCTGAGTTTAAACGAGGTGAAACGAGCACCGAGGACGATGCACGCAGTGGACACTCCAAAGAAGCTGTTACCGACAAAAATATCAAGAATATCCACAAAATAATATTGGATAACCGGAAAGGGGAGTTGATCCAAATAGCTGCGAAAGCTCTGTTCAAAGTGGGTGCCGCGCGAGTTCACAATTAACAAAAAACAACGAATTGATGATTCTGAGCAGTGGTTGAACCTGTTCCATCATAAAAAAACAATTTATGCGTCACGTCAGTATGTGACAATGGATGAAACATGGCTCCAAAGCTTGCAAAAACGCAATAGTCATGTGGCAAGGTTATGGTATCAGTATTTTGGGATATGCATGGTATAATCATCCTCGACTATCTTGAAAAGGAAAACACCATCAACAGCGACTATTACATAGCGACTTTTTCCCGATTTTAGACCCCAACAGAATGCTCTCTGGAAAAAAAATTCAGTGCCGATGACGAGGCAGTGATCGAAACTGTGGCCTATTTTGATATTGAGGCTAACGACAAATTGTACTATAAAAATGGTATCAAAAATTGTATGACAGCTATAATCGTTTTATTGCCTTTGAATAATAAAATCAAATTTTATCTTTTTTTTTTCTATGTTAGCCTACGTACTTTTCAGCCCAACGTTAGGTGCCGTTATTCTTGAATCGTGCGTGACTTTCAGGGCCCATTTATGCAACACTTTTACAATTTCAAGCACACGCCCTAGGAACGTCTGGTTTTATCATGCTTGTTGCTCTCATTGTATTGCTCAATAATGCAGTTTTCGTATAAAATGGAAATCTATTCATAAAATTTTGAGATTTGAAGGTATTTCTTTCTACAAAACTGTTCAGATTATACTGGAACTGATGCGGATGCAAAATGTTGGAGATTGAACATATTAAAAATCTGTTTTTCCGTTAATCAGGTGTCGCCCCTATACGAACGACAACTCTCAGAAGTTGAGAAACTTGTGCGAGCTAAGGACTAACGACTTACCTTTTACCTTACCTAACACGGTTGCAGAATCATTTACTATTTCAGCTTGATCAGATCTTCTTCCAGTTCTCTAAAATCAGATAAGTTTTCGATAATGGATAAATTAGTATCTTGCAAGAGATCGAAGCTATCGACATGACAATAAACTTTCAGATACTAACGACAATTCAGGAGAAAAGAATTATGCGGTAAAAATTAGAAGAAATGAAAGTTTCTCATTGGGCAGCCTATTGTTCACTTCTTGATGTTCTCGGGCAATCCCAAGCTGGTAACTCAGTAATTGTGAAAATAAATGTTCACCCTAATATGTACGTGTATGAGACCAGTTATTTTGGTGTCAAATCAAAAATATTATTTATTAGAACCTTCCCTGTATAACTATTAAGCTTCAATTCGAACGACGAAAACTAGTTATAATAAGATAAGCCGTAAAACCATGTTGCATTTCAATTTATTTTTGTTTCGTTACTTTTTCTGATGTAGTTCGAAATTTCCGATTCTAATGAAGAGATATGAATTATTTCAGGCAAATGAACCGTTTGATAGTCAATGCTGATTGTATTTTGAAATTTGCAAAAACCTCTGAATCATTTCGATATAAAAAGTTCATCAATTATTCAACTATGAAGTCCTTTGAGAAGATGCAGAAATTGGAAAAACTGAAATTCTCTACGGAAAATATTACCAGGTGAGTTCTTTATATTCAGAGACAGACTTCGATGCCAGGTAACAACTGATTTTCAAGAGTTTTTTGATTTATTAAAACACGAAAAAAACGTGAATCCAATTTGAATTTATTTTTTGCATAAAAAATTAAAAGTCCCAATACAAATATAGCGAAAAAGTTAACCCTCTTGTTATTCACGAATTTACAGGAGTCAGTTATTGAGAAAAATATGCCTAGTCAAAAATTAACATTTTTTATTATTTTTAACATTGATTTCATTATGTCGAAAGGTAATATGAGGTCTGTTAAGGTCAATTTTCATTTTTTAAAAAAATATTCATTCATTCATCAATTTCTATTTTGTCCCCTTGAAGAAGTTCTGATATGCACTTTTTGATATGTCCTTGAACGCTCTCAGCGATTCAATTTTTATTTTCAAAATCGTCGCAAAACACTGTTCTTCCATGAATCTCTTCAATTTTGGAAATGAAAAAAAGTCGCAGGAAGGCAAATTTGGTGAATACAGTGGCTGAGGCATTATAACGGTGAGCAGGTGCAAAATCGCGATGCAAATGCCATGAATTGTTTTTCCACATTACGGAACATTTTTTCGTAGTGCTTCTCACAAGCGGCACATAACGAGATAATACTCCTTATTGACCGTACGACCATAAAGCAAAAACTCCTGATGCACTACGATCGACAAAAACAGTGAAAAAAACTTCGACATTTGATCGAACTAGCAATGCTTCTTTGGTCTTGGCTCTTCTGGGCTCTTCCATTGGGACGATTGGACTTTGGTTTCGATGTCATAACCATATACCCATGATTCGTCACCAGTTATGACCCCATTAAGCAAATCTGGATCGCCATTGACGTCATTCAACAATTCCTGAGCGATGCTCATGCGACGTTTCTTTCGGTCAAAATTCAGCATTAATGGAACGATCTTTGGTGCCACATGCCATGCAAAAAATTGTATGACATGAACCAACCGAAATGCCGATGTTTTCATCGGTTGTTGGTGTGCTGGGACGTCCAAGGCGAGCGTCGTCATTCACATCGTCTCGACCACTTGTGAACATTTTTCTGAATTTCAGCACTGAATTTCAGTACAATAACCGTTTTCCACTGTCAAGTGTTTTTGAGCAGTTGATACCATTTTTTACACAAAAGTTGCTGCAAATTCTTTGATCCATTATTTCGATAGCAGAAAATCTCCGAACACGCAAAATACTGTCGCGACCTAAATGGCTCGCGAGTTGGGGGTTAACTCCGATGGAGGTATTTATATAAGAATAATAATCATAGAGATAGAAAATAATGAAGTTTATTAAAATAAAGGTACAACATATCCTTCAACAATGTTACACTTAATCAAAATTATATACTTCAACAAACCAATAATACAAATAAAAAAATAAGACACTTACCGAAGGTACATCTTCAGGGGTGATGGATATCTTCAGAAGGTGGCAAACTAATAATCATACTCAAACATTCTTCTTCCCGATTCTGGGTCGAAGTCTAATAATGCCAAAAAGCATTATTGCATTATTACATTATCGCTAATTGCCGAATATCATAACTTTCATTTAGGTAAATGAACTTTTACTAGATCGACCCATACAGTGCGGTGCACTGAGGCTATAAATTTGGAAAATTGAATATTTTTGGAAATTAATATGTTTGACAAGTTGGCTTTTGACAATACTTTTACCCTCACCAACAAACTGTACATTCTAAATAGCTGAAACTGTGAACATATGCTCAAGACGAGTGGTACCAACATGAAAAAATAAAAAAAACCGCTAACCGAATGTACGTAGTCCGTGAAATTTGAACATTCACCTAATTTTTTGAACAGGCCTCGTATACACAGTAAATTTACGATAAGAATAATGGGGTCAAGGTTGAATGGGCTTGAAGCAGTGTTTCTCAAACTTTTCGAATTCAAGGCTCCCTTATGTTTTTTGAAGGTTGTCGCGGCGCCCCGAACGAAAAGACTACACTAAATATTTAATTAATAAAAGTAGATAGGTGACTGTCTGAACGGATTGCATTTTGCAATTACCGATATTATCATATTATCAGAGGATTTTTATTAATAGGTACCGACGTATTACCTTTACTCTCAGTTTTCCATGTTGTAAAACGTTGTACCTTGAGACTCACCCGTGACCCACGGCGCCCTAGTAAAGGTTCCACGGCGCCCCAGGGCGCCGAGAAACACTGGCTCAAAGTGAGTATTTCAGCTGGCTTTTCATACAAACGACAACTTCTTAGAATCAAAACTTGTATGGACTAGGAATTAATTAGGTCTAGCCTGAAGTCACGTTGAGCTTGCCCAAACGATTTCTTGAGTTGGCATGACGTCTACTGCCTCTCGTATTTAATTCTCAACATTGTCTTATTATTATTCAGCTATAGAGTTCATCTTGCACTACATCAATAACATTAACACCTAATAGAATGTGAACTTTCACGGAGATAACTGTGTGAAACCTATTTTCCGGGTTTTTTGGACGTGGTTTGCAGATTATTATGCCTGAAGTTTAGTCTACTACTGCGGTAGACGTTATCAAAGGAGATATGGTAACAGTAAATCGGAGACATATTCTAATATTGTAGTTTCTGCGTTGAAAACAACTAGAGCACTTCGACCGTTACCTCATCGCCTTTGATAATATCTACCGCAGTAGTAGACGAAATGTCAGGCGTAATAACCTGCAGACCACGACCAAAAAAACACGGAAAATAGCTTTCACACATTAACACATAGGGTTATTGGAATTTCTGCCACTTATAAAATTTAGTGTGAATCATTCATACAAATGCTAAAGTAATTTTCAAAAGAAAAAACTGTCTCTCTGTGGTCTCACCCACTGGACACCATTTCATTACTATGGTATTGTTTATTGGGAGCCCAATGTTTGCTATCTGGTGGCTACTGCGCTATGATATATTCAGCCATATGTTAATAAGCCAATGAATAGTAAACCGTCCTGTCACCATCTAAACTAAGCACATCTTTGATCTGTCGTATTACAAATATTGCTTAATTCAATTTTTTGCAGACATGATCGATATGGGGCTCCCAAGACAAGGTTTTATCTATGAACATATCAAGGAGTTGGTTCTTTCCGAGAGTTGGATATTGTTAAGTTTCACTGTTTTCCTTAACGCGAAGCCTAAATGTACTGCTTTACTGTCAATCAGTTTTAGTTGATTTCTATCACACCAAACAATCATGTCATCCATGACTGAATTAATGTTGTTTTCTAGATCCTCCGCAGTATTTCCGGAAACTGTTGCGGTAGTGTTATCTGCGAATAGGATAATGAAACCTTGTTTTATATACTTCGGAATCACTTATATAGATAGAGAAAAGCAGTGGGCCTAAAATGGACCCCTACGGTACCCCAAGGATAATATCTTGAATATCAGATACTGCATTATTCACAGTCACTACCATTTTCCTATCTTCCATAAAAGGCATTATCCATTCCAGAAGGAACCCTCTAATGCCAATGTTATATAACTTACTAACCATTATGTCACTATTTACTGAATCAAACGCCTTAGCCAAGTCAAATAATATTGAAACTACGTACTTCCCCTTATCGATTTCATTGTAAATAAACTCGAATTTTCTAGCAATAGCAGTCTCAACTGATCTAGCTTTTCTAAAACCATGTTGATAATCAGTTAGAATCTTGTATTTTTCGAGAAACGCAATAATTCTATTTGCTACTATTTTTTCAATAAGTTTAGATGGAATACTCAGTAATGATATTTGTCGATAGTTATCTATATCTTAATGTGAACCCTTTTTATTTCAATCATCATTTCCTACAACAGAGTTCTACAGCGACAAAATGTTTCTGCTCAGCAGCGATAAAACATGATAAAGCATGAAATCAACATCTAGGCGTAGTTATTCTTGAACGTGACTCTCTGGGACAACTCAAATAAAACTCACCAATAGAATAAACAGATACAGATACGAATTGCCCCACTTCACTGCCACGAAAGTAAGACAACAATTCTTCAATTGAAACTCCTCGTTGAATACTAGTGTCAAAGCTATTTAACGGGTTTTTTGCCTGTGTTCTGTAGGTTTTAATGCCTGACGTTCCGTCACCTCTGCGTTAGACATTATAGATGAGGTAACGATCGAAGTGTTCGAGTTGTTTTCACCGTAGAAAATATAGGGCCTTTCAACAGGGACTTCCCAACTTTGACAATTGGTAATGGTCATCTTGTTGAAGCTGCATCTGTCAAATTAGTTGTCGTTTATTCAGTCTGTTTTGCTAAACCACCATGGACAGATATAGCATTCAACAACACGCGAAAATGATAAAATTGTTCAATCAAAATGATTCTGCTGTTCGGGCAACGTACCGCGCGCTTCGCCCATTGTACAGTCGACATAATCGTCGTACCGAGAGGACTATTCGCAATGTGGTGGATGAATTTGAGTCCACTGGTTCAGTAAACGATCGACCGACACTTGTACGTTGACGAAACGCAAGATCTGCCGAAAACATCGCCGCTGTCTGTGAGGGTGTACAGGAGAATCCGAGGTAGTCGATTTCGCGTCGCTCATAAGAACTCGAACTTTCGTAGACCACAACTTGGCGAATTTTGTGACGTGACATGGGTCCGCACCCGTAAAAAATTCAACCGACCCAGGAACTGAAGGTAAACTACCATAGACAACGACGCGACGTGTGTTCGCTAAATGGACTCTGGAGCAGTTGGCAACTGACCCTAATTTTCATCAAAAATCATCTTCAGCGATGAGGCCCATTTCTAGATGAATGGGTACGTGAACAAACAAAATTGTTGACCCTACAGCGTCCAATGCATCCCGAGAAAGTCACTGTTTGGTGTGGATTTTGGGCTGACGGCGTCATCAGTCCATTATTTTTTTAAGAACGACTTTGGCCAGGCCATCACTATAAGTCGATGATTACCAACTTCTTTTTGCTCGAATTGGATAATCTGGACACCAACGACATGTGGTTTCAACAGAACAGCGATACGAGCTACACAGCTCATTCCACATTGGATATTCTGCATGAGCTATTTGAGGACATGGTCATCTCACGTGGAGGTGATGTGAACTGGCCACCGATATCGTGAGATTTGACCCATTCGACTTTTTGTTGAGGGCGTGTATCAATAATTTGTCTCCGGTTTCATATCGCCATTGGTGGGCTTGGCTTCTCTTGATTGGATTGAATGATCTTGTGTTCAATCAGGGACAGTTATTCAGATTTCACTTATGTTCATTTCCTCCTCCTTTGGAGACATTTTTTCTCTCAGAGAAATGCCCATTTTGAGAACATAAAATCGATATCGTTTAGAAGTTCAAGCAATTCCCTCACCTGTTAAAATATTTCTCTGTACCTTATTTACCACTCAACGTGACACTACACTATGAAAATAAAGTCAGTGACTGAACAAATTAAGGAAAATAAACCATATGAACTTTGAATAGGTGTCAGCATTCAAATTTTGATTTATTTGGAGTACAACTGAAGACTGCTCAGAAAAATCCCAGATTTGTGAAAATAGAATAATAGAATAGAAGATAATGTTACAATATTTTAATAAAAAAAATTCATTTTGCATGACTTTTTTTGAACTTCAGTCTCTATAGGTTACCTACTCGATGGTTTTGTCATTCGAGAAAGTAACATATTGAACGAGTTTACTTTGAAGAAGAAAACGAGGTTGACAAAAAGACAACTACTCATGTCTAATTATTCAATAAGTGCATCATTTTTGTCGAATTGTATTTTTCTAGGTCACCAACGTCATCAATACCCAATCCTTTTTCGGAAGCGGAAAATGAGGAATTTATGGCATATTTTCCAGAAATCGTTGAAGTTCTGACAAAGGTATCACCTTGTTGCGGAGTTCCAGAGCTGCAGAAGCAACTCTCATTAACTTTGAAATACAATTTAGATCTCGGAACGAAAGCCAGAGGTATAGCCACCGTAGTCGCATATAAAGCATTGGAGAAAATTGAAAATCTTTCACCGAAAAATATTAAGCTAGCTATGATGCTTGGGTGGTGTGTAAGAATGGTAAGATTTGTCATAATCTCGATTTTTGTACAAATATTAATACAACTAGAGATATGAATTTGTTAATTGATTATAAAAGTAATGCATTCATCTGAAATTTCAGATGACAACACGAAAAAAACTGAAAGTGATCGGGTACATTTAACCCTTCTTAAATTTGTATGTACCCAGTTAACACTAAATTGTTACATTCATGACTTATAAGCTCTTTATTCTGGACCCTAGTGACCCACTTCAGGTATCACCATGCGATGTATAGTCTATCCATTTCCAATTGGAACGGCAATAAAAATAAGATTACAGGCATACACATTTCTTGCCTGTGGCCCCTAGTCGCCCAGATAGTTAGGCCTGGCTGAATACAAATTTTTTGTCCGTTTCACAATATTTCTTTATCAGTGCCGTGTGTTCGTGGGGTTAGGTGAGGTCGTGAGTGGTTTTGCAAACCGATTTTTGAAATTTTTTTCTAGAGATCAATTACCCTAACACCAAACTGATAATAGGGGATGTCATTGACCATGCAATGAAACAAAAACAAAGGAATAAAAAATTCGCAAACGTTGATGGTGCTACAAAAGATGTGATTCGGCGAACAATTTATGGTATACACCAAAAAAATGAAGTACCAACCTTGGAAATAATTTGATATAAATTACTCGACTATCCCGATTACAATTACAAATCTTGAGAAACTACACGAGGTGTCTTATTGTCTTGTGGTTTCAAATATAAAAAAATTGAACAATCGGATGGTCATAATGGAATCGACACGCATTGTTCAACTCCGACAAGAATATTTGAGGCGAATGAAAAGATACCGAGAATCCAGCAGACATATAATCTACCTCGACGAAACTTGGTTTGACAAATATGGCTGGGTAGACACACCTTCTTCAAGGGGAAAACGTGTTATAATTTTGCATGCCGGGAATAAAAATGGTTTCGTACCCGACGCTTTGCTTCTGTCGGCCAAAAATATAAAAGATTCGTCTGCTGATTACCACGAAGATATGACTGCGGCTTTATTCGAAACCTGGTTCAGTGAGCAGCTTCTCCCAAATATTCCTCCAAACTCGGTTATTGTTATGGATAACGCTTCGTATCATTCTCGGTTATTGACTACAATTCCAAACAATAACACAAAAAAACAGATATTGTTGATTTCTTGCGAAATCATGACATGGAAATGCCCGAAAAGATTCCAATGAAAAAGGTATTACTGGCGACCATAAAACAACGTAATTTCAAAGCATGGGTGTGACTTTTGACTAGTTCCGCAATTGTCGATAACTCACTACTTATACGCGTGTGTCACATCAAGTATCCACTGAATTATTCCCCATCATAAAGTTCTTTTAACATACTCGTATTTTGTAGAGGAATTAAAATTCTGATATTACTGTAGAAGTACTCAGTAAAATGTTTATTATGTTATTTAAAGTAGGTATAAGGATTATTATTTTTATTTTATCTAGTGACCATTGTTATAATATTGTATTTTATAAAATAGTTCAGGGGAGTTCTCACACATAAACATAATTCGTCTTATCTCATAATTTTCTGAATGTCTTAGCTAGCCGGGTGGTCTTCGAGCGTTTATAAGAGACTCGTAGCCACTGATTTTGTTTGGGTGCATGACTGAGGGGATGGCGGTATGAAGTCCTCAGACATCAGTACCGCCCTTCACGGGGTACCCCTACCTGGCTGGGGTGGGATGGATGAAAAAGCTATTCGTCCGTTAACGGGGGACATGAGGGCCTCATTCGATAGAGTGTCGGGGCCTTCTATATCGGGAGGGGTCGTCTACAGCATAGTCTATAGCTTCCCTAACTAACGGATTTTCGTGAGTTTCCGCACTTTCGAAAACTCGCCGATTCCTCGACTGAATGGACTGCCGAATGGAAGGCAGCTGCAAATCTCTGCGGATGGCTTCATTCCGCACGAACCAAGGAGCATTCACATTCATCCTAATTAACTTGTTTTGTAATTTCTCCAAGATGGAGATGTTGGACGGAGCCGTTCGTCCCCAGACGCCTGAAGCATACATGATGACAGGCTTGAACATCGTGTTGTAGATGGTAATCTTGTTTTGCAGACTCATTTTTGATTTTCTATTGATCAGAGGGTACAGACTTGCGATCCGACTCTCGATCCTAGATTTAACGTACATGATGTGCGGATTCCAACTGTCTATTAGAAGGCCGAGGTACTTTACCCGCGCTTGCCAGTCAATCTCCGTTCCAGAGATTCTCTCTTTTCTGGCCGGAGAAGATAGCAATCTTCCCATGGTTATCGCCTGAGTTTTGTCCGGATTCACTCGGATAAAACTTCCAGTCTAGGTACCACCGCTCGTTGCATGTAGACGACGCCGAGCTCTCGACCCATGGAAGACGAGAGAAGAGCCGTGTCATCGGCGTAGGAAATATTCTTATGTTACAGCGCCGTGATACTCACAAAGTAAGTAAGTAAGGAAATTGTAGATTCCAACTATCTTGCAGGTCTGCGAATCAGCAAATTGTTTCAGATGTACCTAGCAACTAGTGAACTCGCAGGTCGGCAAAAATTCTTACCCACTTGCAAGTCGGATTTGTTATTGATGAAACTTCTTTCCGTCAACAGCAACAGCTACTCCCACTCCCTGAGAATACAAAAATTATATTTGTTTTGATAAAACAAAAATTGATCTTACAGGTTGACAAAAATTCTTGCCGGTTGATCCCCCTACACAACAATCTTGACTGGAGCAATAGTTTTTGATAAAAACACTCAAACCCCCACACCCCGGCCATAAAAAAATTTCACCTGTTTCATAAAATTGAAAATAAACTTTGCTGTTCGCCAGAAATTTTTGTAGACTAGATTGAAGATTACCGAATAAAAAACCCAACTTCTGGTTATACAAAGTGTCACATTTCTGATAAAATAGAAAATAAACCGTGAAGCTCTGCAGAAATTCTTGCAAGTTGGGCCTCCCAGAAATAAAACTTGATCAGAGTATTCATTAATTTATGACGAAATAACTCAAATCTCCCAAATCTTCTCATGAAATTGAAAATGAACATCGCTATTTGGCAGAAATTTTTGCAGGTCAAGCCCACCAGATAAAAATATCGACAAGGATAATCATTCTGTGATGCAATATTTGGAACCTACTACTAGAATTTGATCCCAACACCAAACCGTTATTTTTAACACCTCGACACGTGTTTCGATCACCAAGTGATCATTTTCAAGAGGAATATTAAAGGGAATATACATACAATGTAGACCTTATTATTTATATCTTAGATATCTCTGCTATGTACCTGTGTCTTAATTGTCTTAAATTAATTTTACAATGTTGCATTATCGAATAGATAGGTAAATCTGATAAATAAAATATTATTTCAACAAGTTATATAGTATACTATTAGGTATTAGTCCACCATCGTTATTCATAGTTTTATTATGTTTACTTATTCCTACACTTTTATAGGAATCTAGAAGTCTGTTGTTGTTAACTTGTCTAACTAATCTTAAAGAACTGAAGTCTATGAAGTGGGTTTGTTGCAAATTATGATGGGCGACTGCTGATTTTTTTGACCTTTCATATTTTAGGTGTGCTGAGTGTTCTTTATATCTTATTTTAATAGATCTTTTAGAGTGTCCATAATATTTTGCATCGCAGTCCTTACATTTAATTTTGTAAATTCCAGACTTTTGCGAATTCTCGACTTTGTCCTTTGAATTTCTTAAAAGGCTCTGTAGTGTATAACTTGTTCCTTGAAAATCTTCCCAAAGTTCTTCGTGTATTGGTGGTATGGAACTGAGATATATTTATGTTTATATAGGGTGTTCCAACGAAAATTTGACCCCCTTTAAGTCAGAAATGGACGTGCAATCGTAAATTTTAAAGAACACGTCAATTTTTATTTCTAGGGGGACCAATTCTGATATGGAAATCATACCCAAAACTCATCATCATTGTCCCATTATTACTCCTGTGATTTTTTTCTAAATTGGTTGATTAGTTATTGAGAAATTTAATGTTGAACGTTTTATTTGAGAAAAACCAGAAAATTCTCTGTCGCTCATTTTATTGAGGAAATCAATAAAAGTAATATCAATGGCAACACAATAAACGGATGAAGTGTTCGAAATGACCTCCATCTAGTTCCATACAATAATAAAGTCTACTCTCAAAAGCATTTCGTACATTATTCAAGATGTCCGGAGTCAGCAATTGGCATTCCCAAACAATTATCTTTCACAGGTCTTCTAGATTTGTAGGCTTACTGGACCCCTTCTGACAATCCAACGCATTGGAAAACGTTCGTCCAAAAACTGTCCCACGCAAACATCAAAATGTAGGGGTGCACCATTCTGCTGGAATGTTATTTCATTTTCTACCAAATTTTCATCATTTTCTAAAGTTTGTGTAATCATAGAATCTACAGTCTTGTAATAGATTTAAGTATGTATCTCCATTGTGATAGCCTTCAATGAAGAATGGTCCAACAATATAATTATCAAGAATGCCGGCCCAGACATTCAACTTTTGTGGGGTTTGTGAATGTGTTTTCGTCACCAAATGAGGATTCACATCGCTCCAGTAACGACAATTATGTCTAATCACTTCACCATTCAACATGAAAGAACTTTCGTCTGAAAAATATGTATTATATAGTAGGTTTGGGTTATTGGTCAATTTCTCGCTGAACACCTCACAAAACTGAAGTCGACGATTAGGATCATCTTCGTTTAATTTTTTAACTAGCCTTATTTTGAAAGGATGGAATTTGCAGCCTTTCAAAATACGAAAAACACTACTAGCTGATACATCAGACGCTCTAGCTACTTGTCTGATAGATAGCCGATTATTCATTTGTACATGTCCTAAAACTGCAACTTCAACTCCGTCATTTTTGACAGGACGGGATACTTCATGTTTTCTGTTGTGAACAGAATCTGAAATATCGACTTTTACAAACGACGAAAACCAAGATAAATATATCTCAATTCCATAACAACAATACACGAAGAACTTGGGAAACATTTTCAAGGAACTAGGTACGAAGATGGTATTGGGGTAAAACTCCAGTACGTAATATTTAAGGATAATCATTTCCGACAAAAACGATTCCAGCCTCCACCTTCCGGTTTGGATAAGACTCGACCAAATCGATCATTAAAAAAAAAATTTCAAACCCTCATCCCACCAAATTCATATTTTTCCAAAAATTTCATATATTGTTATTTCATCAACTAAACCTCAAAATTGAATCGATAATTTTCCATCTACTGGAAACTCTTTTTTTTTAACAATACCATAAGGGCAACTAGCAAGATCTATTGCTAGTTGCTCAATTGGTATTGCTCAAAAATAACATAGTTTGAGTTGATCCCTCTACAGAAATTTAAGGTTTGAGTTGATATTATGATAGTGACTAGACTCTGAGAAAACTCCAATGAATATGCGAATCAAATGAAACTTACCAATACAATGCAGAGATGGAACAAACTGAAATGAAAAACGAATTGCCACACTGTTCACTGTTCACATTGTTCATTGTATTGGTGAATTTGAACCTGTTAAATTCTGAATATTACTGGAGTTTTTTTCCAACACCAAATCGTTATTTTTAACACCTCGACACGTGTTTCGATCACCAGTGATCATCTTCAAAGAGGAAGATTAAAACTGATACGTGTTTCGATCACCAAGTGATCATCTTCAAAGAGGAAGATTAAAACTAAGAACTAGTGCAAGATAATCATATTTATGCTATAAAGGTAACCCATAGAGGTAAACCATCCTGGCGTACCAACCATACAGGTATACCAAGCTAAATTAATTTTACAATTTTGCCTTATCCATTATTTTACAATATATGTTTATATAAAACAATTTTCAGCTATATAAAAATTAATTTTAAAATATTGCCAATCCAAATTTATTTTTGCAATGTGTCCTTATGTAGTAATCAGTAAACCCAACAACATTATTTTATTTTATTTTAACAAGCTATATAGTATGCTCTTTGGTATAGGTCCGTCATCGTTATTCATAATATTATTGTGTTTACTTATTTCTACACTCTCATAGGCATCTAGTTGCCTGCTGTTGTTAACTTGTCTAACTAATCTTAATGAACTGAAGTCTATGGAATGGTTTTGTTGCAAAATTTGATGGGCGACTGCTGATTTTTCAGGTCTTCCATATTTTAAGTGTGCTATATGTTCCTTATATCTTACTTTAATAGAGTTTTAATCTTCCTCTTTGAAGATGATCACTTAGTGATCGAAACACGTGTCGATGTGTTGAAAATAACGATTCGGTGTTGGGAAAAACTCCAGTAATATTCATTACTACACCAAAGGTTCCAAACAGTGCATCATAAGCTGTTAAATTCTGTAGAAGCATTCATACAAAGTTTCAATATTCAGTCATAATCATATTTGAATATTTGATCTGTTAGGCAGGGACAGTAATGGAAATTGTGGAAATGAGATGAATAACGTGACCCGGGAGTCACGTATGATTCAAGAATACCTAGATGTTAATTTCATGGGTGTCAGTTTTATTGCTTTGTTTTGGTTGTCTAGCCTTCAAACTTTTCGTCATTTCATTTCTTTGAAGGAAATAATCACTATAATCTCGACTTCACTGTATGATATTGGATGTATTTTTGTGTATGCACTATGAATGAATAAATTATGAACTGTTTAGTGAAATGACGTTATTGTATACATTTCTCACCTGAGTTATCTTATGGGTAATGTAATGAAGTTAATAAGTAGGTCACTGTGGTAAATTACCGTAGTTTTTCATAGATATAGGAATATATTTCCTGATGAATAATGAAAAAGGTTGAATGAAGCCCTTGCAACCCTAAGAAATGTGAGATATCTTTTCACAATTCAACCTCCAACATGTATGTGGAGCTGCCAGCTAGAATTGAGATTTTACAAAAAAGTAGGATTTTTGTAATATCAGATATTAGGCCTGACATTCAAGCTTTATTCTACATTTTATTAGAAATGAAATTTTTGTATAGGTACTTACAGAATGAGAGGCGGATTGGCTGCCCTTATTCACCTTTCACTGCCTGAACCACTGCGAATGCTGTTTTCGGCGAGTGCATTGGCTTGGGATGTGGGGGTTGAGCAAACCTGCCATCGGATGCCTGCTTCCAAGAAATTGTCTCTACGGAACCTTCGAAATACCGGGCGTCCTCTCGTCGTAGCATCGCCTTGTCACGGTAATGCGGGGTTCTGCCGTGATTGAGCTTCTTTCCCTAGCTACTCGTGGGACTTTTATGGGCAGAGTAACCTTAAAAATAATTTCTGACGCTGAGTCTATAGAGGAGATGGATATCGAGCTTACAACTCCAACTGACCTTCCTGTAAATTTAGATCAGGAGCGAGTCTACAGAGGAGATGGATGTCGAGTTTACGACTCCAACTGACCTCCCTGTAAATTTAGTTCAGGAGCGAGAGCTTCTCAACTCCCCAACTCCTGATCCAACAACTGAACTTAAAAAAAAAGGTTTGGTGGTGCAGCCAGGCAATGACTGAGTCGTCTCCCCAAGAGCGGGGTACCTTATAAAACCGCCTTGCACCATATTCTTGAGCGGCGTACGCAGAATCTGCCTCAGGTGGAGGAATAAACCCCCCATGAGCAGGTTAGCAAAAGTTTGCGCTCAAGTGATGATTCACTAAAACCAGAGGCGAAAAAGCCCTGCATGGCTGAATCTAAGGCATCGTCAGGTGTAACTTACGTGCAAAAAGCCTCATATGGGAAGGTTGTCGTGTGTATCAAAGTGGGAATCTTGCAACTTGACTATCCGACTACCTCATTAACAGAGCATATACTTTGTGCCTGCCCCGCTGGGGACCGAATCAGGTCTTTAGAGTTCAATTTTTTTGTCGGAGTTGATTATTATGGTGAAGTTTTTCATCTGGGAGGCCAGAATGCAAAGTCTGCTTTCAATTTTATGAAAAAATTGGATTTTTTGTACACGAAAGGGGAGGTTGAATTTTTTTGTCGAAAATGATAAATCTGGTCAACCTGCAAGGTCGTTCAATTGATTATACGAGACATTTACTTTTATTTTATCCCCGAAGGGTGAGGGTAGGAATTTTCATTCTGTTGAAAAGAATTTGAGTCAACACGCAAGGTTTCTCTTCAATTTTCTGAAAAATGCTAAATATTTCGACACACGAGGAGTGAGGGATGGACTTTTTTTGTCGGAAATGATTATTCTGGTCAAGATTTTCATCTGGAAGGCCCGATCTGCAAGAATTCCTGACGATCTGCAATGTTCATTCTCACTGTTTTGAGAAATTTGATTTTTTTCACACCTGATGCGCAGGTGTTTGGAATTTTTTCTGTTGGACATGACAGATCCCCACATGACCCGAAGGCGATTGTGGATTCTAACAATCAAAACATCGTGAAGTTACTTGGATTGAAGTCTTTATTAATTTTTCAATTGTTCGATTATTAATTTTTGCTTTTTTATATTTTCATTTTTTTTACTCTGCGGCCATTTTAATCTTTTATCTTGATTATTTTATTCATTTCATTGTAATTTTATTTCACGTTTTATTGCTTGATATAATTGATATTTTAGCTGTTCATTTCAATTTCATTTGTTCTTTCAGAAATATAAAATCATATGGTAAGCAAAGAAAAGATATTTTTGGAATGCATTCATCAAGAAGTTCATCTAAAACATAATTGGATAAAACGGGTGATATTGTTGAACCCATTGGTGTGCCAAATATTTGTTTATAGAATTTATCATTTAATACAAAATAGGTTGAATCAAACGGAAGTCTAGAATGAATGTAATTTTTTCTAGGCTGCATTGTTGTTCAATTTTTATTTATACATTGTTTCACTATTTCTGAAGGCAGATTTGTAAAAAGTTAAACAACGTCTAGGCATAATTTTGATGTATTTGAAAATTGTTGAATTGTTAACAAATTCGCTGAATTTGGTGTTGATTGTCTGTTTGGTAAGAATTTGTAAATATGTTCCTCAAAAATTTGAAGAGTTTAGAATTCGGATCATCAATGGAAGATACGATGGGTCTCATTTACAGGGTTGATGGATTTTTGGTAACGAATAAAATCGCGTTGCATTCATGATTTAGAAGTTGTCAAATCCATATTTTGAGACTTTTTTAGGTTTGTGACTAACTTGTTAGCTTTCTGTTGTAATGTTGAAGTTGGGTCAGATCTCAAATAGAATAATGATACATTACAACAAACACGTGTTTCTGGCTCATTAGCTATCATCAGTACGTTCCTTACGCATGAGAAAACTGATGGTCGAGTGAGACCATCAGTACTGATCGTCAGTTATTTCTGAAACTGGTCTAATAGGCCCGATTCACTTTTTCAATATTCCTTATAAATATATTCGACGTTGGTGGTTGCATTTGAAACTGAATATCACTTTATATTACAGGTTGAATCATATATGATCATGTTTGATGATATAGTTGATAATTCATGGACTCGGGGAGGAAAACTCTGCTGGTTCAGAAAAAATAATGTCGGGATGAGGGCAATCATTGACGGTGTTTACTTGGAAAATGGTGTTTACTACGTTCTGAAGAAGTACTTGTCCTCTCATCCTCAATACCTTAACCTTCTAGAGCTCTTTCTGGAATCTAATTTCATGACAACTATTGGGCAATCTTTGGATATGATGCCCAGGAGTCTGGAAGATTTCACAATTGCTAACTATAATACATTGACCGTTGGTAAGGCTGAATATATGGCGCTGTATACCCCAGTAGCGTCAGCCATGTTTTTAGCGAACATTTCCGAGAAGGAAATTCACCACCAAGTCAAGTCACTTTTGTCATCTATTGGAACCTACTGTCAAATACAGGTAAAATTTCAGACTATACCGAGTATCAAAGAATATATTAGTCATAACTTCTAGAATACTAGGTATGTCAAAGCGAGATTTGGTACAGATGAATGGTATGTGAAGAGAAAGTTTGGATTGAAATTCGGTACAAGAAACAAGGGAGTGTTTTTTCAAAAGTCGCCATTTTGTGTGCCACGAGTAGGTCCTATATCCTAAAAAAAAACGATTTCATAATCCAACTACAAGTTCCAACTTTATTAGTGGAACTTTGCATATCATTTAATGAATATTCATTAGGTTTTCAAAATATAATGTTGGCAACCTGATATCTCGACAATAATTCTGGAAGTCGATAAGATGGAATATTCAGTTTGTTAATACTTTGTTTGTATGAAACAAACTCACATGCACATGAAGAGATTGTGCGAAATTTACACCATATATATCTACCAGTATTATCTCCATATGATGGAGGCGATATGAATTGAAAATTTAATGGATGTAAATGAACAACTATCAAAATTTTTCAATTACATTACGGGTTGCCTTTTTTTCTAACCACTTTACTGGAAGAAAACTTGGTGTAGGAATGTTTTAACTACTTATTCAAGATCTAGACTCCATTTTTCAAATCCTAGTTGGAAAATAATATATAAGAATACGTTTGAAAATACAATTGAAAGCTCCTTAACTATCCTTTCTATTTGGTCCAAATAAACTTTTCATTTTGCATAAATCTATAATAAACACATTTTCATTTACTAGCAATCAAATGGGTGATTTGTGTGGAATAAAAACGTTTTTAGAAAGAATCATTTATAACAAATACCGGTATTACAGAGACAAAATAAATTGATCCAACAGAAAAATTGTGGAATATGTTCAGTAGAAAATTCACACTTTAGTTTTCAGAATGAATATTCTGTTATTATTTCTAAACTGAAAATTGTGCTTTTTTTGAAAATACGCCACCTTTCTGCTATCATCAATTAGCACAAGAGTATAACGCCTATATAATGGTTCTTTAAAACCATGAAAAATTAAAAATAATACTTTTTATTTTTTTTTACACTTGTATTTGTAACTACGATGTAACTACCAATTTATTGTTCTTAAAAACAATCAGAGATATCACCAGTAAATCATATTTTGTCCCAAATAGAAAGGTACTCATGGCAAATGAGTTGTTTGTCATTGTAGAAATTCATTAATAATAATAATAATAATGGCAATATTTATTCATCATTTGAGATACCTATGATACAGATGTCATAATACATATACATAAATAAAGATGTACAATAGTGTAAATATGATTGATATAAAATGTAAATATAACGAAACACTCTCAAGTAAGTAAATATTAAGTAAAGATTTGTTTGAAAAGTATCTTTCAAAAATTCTTGATAACTATAATAACCTATCTCCATTAAGAAAGATTGGAATAAACGGTTAATACTGATTTGTTTAATCACAATGGGAAACTTGTAAATAATGATAGCATTGTACTGAAGTAAATTCTTGAAGAAAAAATTTTATGCAGGAATTCGTTGAAGTTCACTGTTTCGTGTATTGTGATTGTTTTCAGAAGTATTTGTCGGATATAGTTCCAAATTGTTTCTAGCAATTTTTTTTGCAGGGAAAATAGATCGGCAAAAAAGATGAACAAAGTCATGCCAAATATAAGCCTAATAATTAATTGGATTGTGTTTATTTACTATGCTTTGTTAAGGAACTCGTTTTATTTGTAGTATTTGCAGTTGGTCGTTCGCCAAAAATTCTAGCCCCGAAAGTTTAGGCGATCTCCGGCCAATTAGTATTTTAGGGCGCAATCAAAAGTTTTTGAAAAAATATTGAACTTGCAGATGTGTGATTATCTGAACGACTTCGATATATTACGCGAGTGTCAATCAGAGTTCAGACTTGACCACAGTTGTACGACTGCCCTCCTGAATGTTGTGGATAATGTGCACAGATCTATTGATAATAACAAACTCTGTCTTCTGATATTACTGGACTATTCTGCGGTGTTCGATCGCATACGCCATGAACTATTTTGGGCCACCTAGGGTTTTCAATGCGTGCTGTAGCACTACTAAAAAGTTACCTTTGCAATCGTTTTCGAAGAGTTGTGTACAATAACGAAAACTCTGATTTATTACAAATTGAAAACGGTGTTCCTCAAGGTTCAATATTGGGTCCTCTCCTGTTCGTTTTATAGACATCTCAATTTCATAGGTCACTGCAATTTGCAACCATGCATTGTTATGCCGCGGACACTCAGCTGTACATGGAATTCGATAAGAATTCAACTAACGAGGCTCTCTGGCAAATTAATACCGATCTCGATATGTTCTTATCTTTGTCAACTAAATATTGCCTATATGTTAATGCATCTAAATCTTATGTCATGCTCTTTGGTAGAACAGCGGCAAAAAATCGTTGTTCTGTCCTCATAAATATTGTAATAGATGAAACAGAACTTCCCTTAAAAGGAGTAACAAAAAACTTGGGTCTATATCTTGACAACAGTCTTCGTTTTAAAACACACATTTCGCAAATTCTGAACAGAGGTTACGCAAATTTGAAAATTATATATTCCAATAGAGCAGTGACAGTTTTAGAATCCAATAGCTCCAGAATGCATGCATTAGGCTCATTACGGGTACGAGGAAACGAGAACATATTTCACATCTGTTCGGGGATCTTTTAAAAAAAATCCTTTAGAATTGATATACACCATCTTAACTTGGGAGATTCAGGCACATTTAACAATACCACAACATAAAACTTCTCTGGGTCGTGGATCTTTCACTTACCATTTTGCCTACTTATATAATCGGATACTCATTGAATATAAAATAGATCCAAATAATTGAATTATGTCGAAATCAACCAACCTTTCTTCAAGCTCAAATATATATACATATATAGTAGAGCTTTGAAGATGATAGCACGATTAGCTGTCGAAAGCGTTCGCATATAATAAATAGGAATTATAAAGCTTCAAATCCTTTTTAATTAACACGCTTTTATTAGCTTCACCTGTATGTATGTATGTGTGTTTGTTTATCAGTTTGTTTGTAACTCCAGAATTATCGACATTATTGCCTGATCTATTCGCGGGCAGATGGCACTGTACGTAACCTGCTTGATATAATTCGAACTCACTTTACATGTATTTCTTCATTTAAAAAAAGTATTTTTTTTATTAACACGCGCGCTATTGTATGGAACCATTTGTATGGAACCATCAGTAAAATCCATTATCATTATTAATATTGCTTAAATGTCACATTCACATGTCTTTTATTCTTATACATTTTATTTGAAAAACCAAAATATATATTTGCCAGCAACGATTTTACTCCACATATTATTATTCTAACGGTAACATCTATCCGTAATTGGGAGTTGAAAAAGTAGGGCTGAAATTATTCCGTTAAACTGTTCATCTTGAAAATAAATTTGACTTACCTCTCTGATTTTTCATATTATTTCCTGTATGGAAAATATTGAATATGTAAAATTTTTGAATTGATGCCTACTATAGCAGACAATATTCATAATATCTTAATATCACGTAATATGCAGTTGAAAAAGTAGGGCTAAAATTATTCCGTAAAACTGTTCATCTTGAAAAAAAATTCGACTTACCTCTCTGATTTTTCATATTATTTCCTGTATGGAAAATATTGAATATGTAAAATTTTTGAATTGATGCCTACTATAGCAGACAATATTCATAATATCTTAATATCACGAAATATGTCATTTCAGCTAAAAAACAGTTACTAACTTTGAGACTACTAACTGAAGGCGCTTTGTCGTTGAAAACAAGACAAAACTTCCTTTCTCTATTTTCAATCGCCAATATTTTCAGTTGTGAATATTGTATTGTTTTTTTCAGAATGATTTTTATGACTGTTATGGGAATCCTGAACACACTGGCAAAATTGGATCCGACATTAAAGAAGGTAAATTTTCATGGCTAGCAGTGAAAACCCTTGAGAAAGCCAGCAACAGTCAAAAAACTTTAATGAAAGAAAACTATGGAAAAGATAATGATGAGTCATTTCAAATTATTCGTGATCTCTACGATGATATGGATTTAATAAAAGAGTATAGACGGTATGAGGAACAAACATACAATGACATTCAATTCAGAATTTCTCAGCTACCCAAGTGTTTGCCTCATGATTTATTTTATCTGCTTCTTGATAAGATATATAATGATAAATGGTCAGTTTAGGACGATACTATCAAATATACATACTTTATTAGATTATTTCAATACCTCTTTTCTAGAAATTTCTAAATCTATCAGTTAATATCCTTTCCTGTCTAAATTTTTTCTAAGAATCTTGTATCCATATCAATAAATATTGATAAACTGTAGACCAGTTCATTGACAGAAACATTGAAATGTATTATAGCGGAATGTGAGTATATTGAAATGATAAATCATTTGATTGTCTTTAATGTGCCTTTCATTTTTTGATAATCTTTTGAAGAATCTGGCTTGAAAGAGAATAGGCGATGGCATCTTCCTTACGAAGACGAAAAATTTATAGTGTTTCCTTCGACTTCGTCTGCGTTAACTACATAATGAAGAGTAACCTATGTTACTTCCTAATAATGTAACTTTCTAATAGCATTATAGATGACTAGCCTTGGCTTTGCATTCATCTTTTAGATGAAAAAACAAATAAGTACTTTAGTTTAATGACAATAATAATAAAAATAACTGGGGAACTATTCGTTTCCACCCTCAGGCTCATAGAAACTATTAAACCTGATGTAGTTTTTCTCGACCACCAGAGCAAGGCGATATTTATCGTGGAGTTTTGAGCTCCTCCTAAAGGAGAAGGAAAAACGTTTTAAAATATCGAGATTTTTTTCCCTTCGAACTACACAGAATTCTATCCAGACTACCCTGTCAAGACGGTTGTTCTGATTATTGGAGTCCATGGTAGAATGTCATCTCTACTCTCGAATCTCTACTCTCGAATCTGAAAATCATGCCGGCTGTCATTCTTGTCCTGCATTTGCTCAGGACATATTATTATTGGACCCAATGATCACTTACTCCGTGATATGGGAAGAGATCGTTGGTTGATAATGCTGGCACGCCCTCCTGAATGTATCGGGGCTTCGAGGGATTGGGCCTGACCAGCGCATACTTAGGTTAAAATAATTATTATAATAAATACAAAGAGAAATTGAAAAAAAAAGTTACAGGAGATTCTGGTACTCATTGGCGAAGTCTAACTCAAAAAACAAGCACCACCCCATAATAAACGCAAACATACTGAAAATAAAAAACAATTAACGGTTATGGTACCATAACAAGAGAAAAATAAATAGAATATTAATCGGTAATTATCCACTAAAGCGTTGATGGATCAAATTGATCTGATGCTCAATTTATTATTGATTTGCCAAATTAGCAAAAATTGAGATTAGTGACTATCGTAGATATAATTTCAATATTTATTCAAATATTAATTTCCTGATATTGAACCTCCTTGATTACTCAAGCAATGAATTGAAGAGTTCCACTGCACCGAAAAGAAATGATCTCTGAAACTGTGCAGGGCGATGTCGTGGCAGAGTTCATTTGTTTTAATTTCTAATATTTATTGAGAGGATATCTTAACGCAAAATTAGTTTCTGTATCAAAAGGAGAGCGTTGGGAAGAGTAATCAATTTATGAACCAAACAACCCACATGATGAATCATATAGTTTTTCATATTGAGCCAGCGGTAGTTTTTTAAGGCTTCAGAAATGGAATCATACCTACTTACGAATTCCATAAATCAGACGGCAAGAAAAATTTATTTCGATTTTTTTCATTTTTTTCATCCAAATCATCTAAGTATGACCCATATATGAAGTCACAGTAGTTGAAGAGGCTTTGCACCAAACTATCACAAAGCATTTGTTTTAGATATTAGCTCAAAATAAAACGATTGCAGGATAACAGTTAATATGGATATATACTCTTTCAATAAATCTGAGTGAAATTGAGGTCAGTGTCAAGCATCACCCGTAAGTTTTTTGCTGTAAAGATAGTACGACCTAGTTCTAGGTGGAAATTGTTTTCTGCAAATTTACGATTCTTCTGCGATCAAAAATGCATCATCATTGTTTTATTAGGATTTAGTTTCAAATCATGTTCCTCAGCATACTAATCGATTTTAAAATGCATATATAGCTGTGTGTCATCAGCATAAGCCTGCATTTTACAATTATCGATGGACGAGATAACGTCAGTAGTATAAATGATGAACAATAAGGGTCCCAAAATGAGAACCTTGTTGTATTCCACATAGAATATCAAGAGATGAGGAGTAGTGACCAGTAAATAAGACCAGATGAGAAATAAGGCAGCACCGCCAAAATATTTGAGTTTTATACAAATCTGCTCATGGTTGATGGTATCGAATGCTTTCGTAAAATCTAGTAAAACCAGAGTACTAATCATTTTCTTATCAACTCTTTCAAAAATATCTTGTGTAACAGTAGCAAGAGCTGCACCTGATATATGTTGGAATTGACCCATACTTGATGAAAATCCATAACGTATTCAAGAAACACTTAATTATAAGATTTTCATCTAACAGTTTTACAAAAACCCAACACGTGTTTCGCCATACAATGGCTTTTTCAGGGGTGTCTTTAGCGTGTGTTTAGAGTGAAGACACGCCCGAAGGAGCCATTGTGTGGCGAAGCACGTGTTGCGTTTTTGTAAAATTGTATACTGATAATCCTGAGATCAGAATAACTGGCTGGATCATTATCCTTGGGAATAAATTTACCAATGGCAATTTTCTACAAGTCTGGAAATTATGAACAACAATTGTGATGATATGTGTAATGTGCTTATCTATAAACTGGCTACAAAGTTTCAACATTCTGATTCGAGAGGTGATCGGGTAATGAATATTGTTTCTTTGAACGAACTTTGAGGTTAGAGAAAGCATTCAAAGTTTTGCATGGTATTTTTGAGACCTGACAGACTTGAAATTGGTCTTTTTGTCAATTCTAACTAGTGACAAGTTATAATTTCTCAGTTCTTCATACCTCATACGATCGTTGACAGTTTTTATTATTTTAAATTTTTGGAAGGCCTTTTCACGTTCATTCCTAAGAAATCTGAGATTCAAGTGAGCTAAGGAACAGGAAGTTTAGTGATTCTAACTTTCCAATAATAATAACAATAATCATCAGCAAAGAATCCGCGCAGTGGTAGTGTGCCCAACATCTCAAAATATTATTTTTCTCGAGAGAATTAATCTAGTTGAAGTTATGTAACGTTAAATGGCTGAGGGACTGCGAATAGCCATGATGCACTCGAGATGGCCTACCTAGAACACGACCCTAATGACCTAAGCAGTCGATGCCGTTAACACCCAAAGAAAAAAACAATAATTTTGGGAAGACATTAGCATTATGCAACTGGTGAAGCCAATCGAAACACGAGATTAGGCTCCTGAAGCCAAAACTGGCTCGAGTGCAAGCAGAGGTTCATGATAATCTTACAGAAAAGACTGACCATCTGGCAGGTTACTATCACCGGAAAGATAGAATGCTGCCTCTTGACTTCGGAAACTTGAATGGACGAATACATAAGATTCAAGCTGAGATCAAGTCGGCAAACCAACATATGCCTAGTTTCGAATGTATGAGAACTACAGGTTGATAATGAGCCTTTCATGGCATCACACTTTGAGTCAAGTAGCATTGCTCTGATAGTATACGAATGCTAGTGACTTCTAAGAAGTGACTTTCAGGAAGTCATTAGTGAGGCGATTGAGAAGTATACTGAAAAATACCAAAATCCATGAAAATTGTTCTCGTTTTTCTCAAGAGCCTCCACGTATTGTTAATAACTTGCTAACCTCTGAATGGGTGAAATTTCTCCGAAAGAACATTTTATGAGCGTTCACAACTGACCAAACTAGATACTCAAACGCAGTTCCAAGCTGTCTGCGAAGAGCCCCATGAGGCTGAACAAAAAGAACTGTGAGAACCGATAGCTATCGAAGAAATTCGAAGAGATTCTTTGTGTTCTAGAAACTTTGCTGCTTTGGGCCCTAGTGGAGTGAACACTTACTTGGGGAAGAAACTACCAAGTGGATGTTGCTGGATGAGGAGCATTAATAATCAAGAAAATGATATGGCGACGAATGTGAAAAAAATCTGGTCATATATTTCCAACAAAAAAAAATAAACACAGAATACCATTGAGTATGTCACTGAATAGACAAAAACTCGAACATTCTCAGGATATCTGCAACGGCTTCTCTGAATTTTTCTCCATAGTTTACGAAAGTGATAATATTCCATCAAATCTTCCCCTAGATTTAAATTCGGCATATAGTACAATCTGCATTGACTCAATTAGTAAAGAGAAAATACGGCAACAAATTAAAAAACTTGACTTATCAAAAAGCTGTGGCCCCGACAATATCCCTCCTATTTTCAATCTTGTGTAGAGTCACTAATCGAGCCATTGTACATAATCTTCAATGACTCTCTGAAAACGGGAATCTTTCCTAAAAATTGGAAATTAGCCAATATGGTTCCAGTATATAAAAGTTGAAACCGGAGTTTATGTATATTTGGAAAACTATTCGCGGGAATAATAACAGACGAACTTTTTTTCATGGCAAAAAATCGCCTAACAAATTTTCAACACGGGTTTTATCGTCAGCGCTCCTGTGTGACAGGGCTCCTGCCGTCAGTATAAGGAACGTTGGAATATATGGAGGACAACGTTCAGGTGGATGACGTGTAGACAGATTTACATATTTTTGTAAGGCTTTTGACAAGGTCCACCACAGTACCTTACTCATCAAGTTGGAGAATTTCGGTGTGCACGACAGTCTGCTGAGATGGATTTCACCCTACCTAAGTAAAAGGTGTCAGATTGTGAAACTGTATGATAATATATCTGAAATTTCTCGAGTAACTTCCGGTGTCCCACAGAGATCACACCTGGGACCGTCGATGTTCTCAATTTTCATTAATGACATTGGCTCGTGCTTTCAACATAGTCATTATCTATTATACGCCGATGATTTGAAAATTTATTCTCCGATAGAGCGGAAATTACAACAAGTACTTCTCCAACAAGACATCGATCGTTTATTTGATTATTGTCATTCCAATAACTTACATCTCAATCCTAATAAATGCTCTTCTATAATATTTTCTCGAAAAAAAGCAGAATCTTGATTACATTTACGAGATAGTTGGTTCACTTCTAAAAAAGTTCAACAAATAAGGGCTCTAGACAGTATTCTTGATCAAAAATGATCTTTTGAAAACCATATTGACTATGTAGTTAAAAAAGCACTGAGAAATCTTGGCTTTTTAGTCAGAAACTGTAAAGATTTAAAAAAACCCGAAACCTGTATACTCTTATATAATTCCATTGTTCGAAGCCACCTTGAGTATGCAACAATGGTGTGGAATCCTTTTTATCAAAAATATATAAATAGAAT